TCCCCGTCCAACTAGATCAACCCCGTAAAATGAAAGGCTGTAACAATATATTCATTTTTTCGAAAATATTTTTGAATTACTTTCTCGGTCAAAGATATTCAGAATGATGTTGTAATTCAACTTCTCCGCATGAACACCAAACAAAAGCATACTGCATACAAGTCTGATCTCAATTTTCCCAAGAAAACTTAAATTCCGGTTTCAGCGAGTGGGCTTCGCCAGTACGACGTAAATGAAAGTGCTTGGTGACTGTATTTTGCCTGCACAACAATTATCCTCTGTTTCGAAGTCTTCAATAATTTCCTTCCTTTAACTTTTATTTGACATCATATTGTAACTTACTTATTAGGTTTAAGTAAAAGTACAAAAGTTACTTAAAGGATTGGTGTTTGTGGTGCTAATATTGGAAACACCAAAAACTGAAACCTTTAGTACATACGAAGGAATTATGGTTTAGAAGAGATTAAGGTGTTTCAGTTCATTAAGTTGCATACGTTTTGGCACAGTACTACAACTGGAGTTCGTCAGTGTAACAGCTGTGGCATAAATTATTATTATATGATAAATAAGAAAGGGATAAATGAGAGAAATGAGCAAAAAAGAATCTGTAGGAAAAGACCGGAAAAATATCTAAGGATGGTAATCGACGTCACTTCTCACTTAGAGAAATTCTTGCTTGTTTGAGGAGCTACCTGAAGGCATTAAACCCTTTTCCACACCAGTAAGGTTTATCATATTAAATTTTAGTTTTTTGATCAAATTTTTGCACTACAGTCTTCTTTCTTCCCTCACCCATCTTTGTATAGTTTTTGCAACGTGTCCATGTGTTCCCAGTTCTTCGGTACAACTTTTTTTTTTTTGCCGCTTTTTCACTTTCAGCACAAATTCGTATTGTGATTAATGAAAGTACAAGCCCGATTTGGTTACTCCCGGCTTGTTAGTAGTGACTCTACAAATGAAGAGTAGAGAGGAAAACTCTCAAAGGGGATACAAAGCGAAGAGGGTAGGACAGGATGGAACCAATAATTTAGCTAACGAAAGCGCAAAACCGCCCAACTCTTGTTTTCCAGAAATGCTTGATAAATTGCCGTTTTCTTAGGAAAAAAAAACTGGTTCATATTTTATTGATGACGATTAAAACACAAGACAATATTTGCAAAAAAGCGGGTTCGCTTACTCTCTGTGTGCGATTTGAGAAAAAATGCGTGGACGAAACGAATTTTTGAATAGCAACTATGTGATGTTGAACGAAGATTGGGGAAAGCCGTCAGTGTCCATGTGTAAATACAAATGAGATAAGAGCAGTGCTGAGCAGGATGATGAAGTTGCCAGCACCAGCATAGTTAAGTAAAGTATCAAATTTATGTAGTTTTTGAAATTATGAAGCTCCCTGAATAGCGTAGTGGAAAATATCACTGTTGTCAAGGAAATCGAGAGTTCTATTCAGCGGGTAGAACGATCAATTCTTTTATTATTCGTTCATACGTTTCAATGGTAAATTGGTACGGGCAGATTGCAAGGAATCGAATTCGCTAAACACTTGCTTGCAAGCAACCCTTGAACAAGGGAACCATCGGCAATCTTGTCAGCAGGTAGTTGTAATTAACAATTCTTAACACTCGGGTTACTTTTCAAGTACCATTACTTCTCTTAGAGAAGGACATGAAAGAGGATTTGAACCGATTTTCGCATAAGACAAGAGCTGTTCTCGGTCTTGGTGAAATGTTGCGATCAATTGCCTCCAATATTTTGTATTTGGGTGGAATATGCGAAAAAATTATACGGAGACCATTTGCATTCAACGTGATTTACTGCTACTCTGCATTATAAAGTTGATCAGGCTGACTTTTGTTCGCACTACTCAAGCTTAGCTGGGCAAAATGCCTTACAGCGTCTTCTCAACATGCTTGGATACCTGGGTTGGATCCTTGGACCAACTTTTTGTAGAAGGGAATGTTAACACACCAAGAATGCCAGGATGGTCCGAGCTGTCAGTGTGGGTATCTCATTTTAGTGATGTTACTAGGAAAATCAGTTCTTCGAGTTTGTGTTGCGTGCCGACAATTTGTGCTCACTGCCTCTTCGATGCGTGTACTGCACTCCTTCGGGTGATGCTTGTGACACAATTTTCCGTGCGCGAGGCCCACTGGTCATCAGTATAACGAACATCATGCCCTGTCCATCGGATTTTACTTCTTGCGTGTCATAATGGCGTCATGCAGGCTGTTCATCTGGCGGGAATTCTCAACCATATCGCTCTTTTTGTTACAACCAGCGCTCACTCTTCAACTTTCGTCAGTGATCACGTTTTGCATCCGTACGTAAATGCTTTCATCGCAACGAAATTGGACAGGTACAGTTACACTAGAGAACGAAAATTTATCACTAAAATTAATTTTACTTTTTGTTATCTACGTATACATTTCAGCCTGAAAAGTATTCTTTTCGATTCAAGAGTGACTTGTTCAAAAAATTTTGCTGCGCCTGTGCGATGCATGCGTTACAGTTTTCTTTTTTGAGGTCAAAAATTTCATGTAATACAAGTCTTTTTTTCCTACTGAAACGAACAGATACAGGTTTTAGTTTCGTTCCGAGCAGAAACATTTCGAGAAATATACATTGTGGGAGGGGTCCTCTGTCATAAATGAAATTTAATTATTTCTTCGAACTCCTTTTTATTTACAACTGATTGTGCAAATGCACAGGAGCGTACTGTCTCGCTGTCCACTTTTTTGTGGAAACCTGTTCTCTCATCCGGAAGAAATGGCATTGCAAAGTACCGCATCACCAACAGCTGCGACCTCTGCTGCTGATATGCCCAATGGTCTGTGAAAAACTGATCGGTGATCTGTTTGATGAGTTCATCTGTAGTAAGCAAATTCACAGATGCATTTGGCCGGAATTTTTGTTTGCTCATCCAAGAAAAATAGTTTTCATTGGCCAGAAGCACGCTGGTTTGAGCGTTCACTGTAGAGGACTCCATTTTTGACATGAACATGGCATCGAAAAGTGCTGAATTATCTTTTGCTATTTTTTAGTTAACAACTTTTCTTCGTGTCCTTATAAACAGTCAAACTCTCCGTCAGATGAGCTGTGTGCCGGGTATCATTTCGACTGTGCGAAGAAGTAAAATTCGATGAGCAAGACATGTTGCCCGCTTTGCCGACAACCAGTGGAGGTCGTGCATTAGTGAATAGTACTATCGTATTGCGAAGAAGTAACACTGTTGTGGTATAGTAGAACGAGAGGACGTGAAAATTAATTTTGCGTACACGTACTCCTACACTGCCATAGACCAAACTTATAAAATTTTTTCCTCTTCGCGTTCCCCCTCCTTTGCCTCCAGTCATCCTCGTCCTGTCTTTTCATTTTTGTTTGCTAGAGTGTCCTGAACTTACCGACCTCGTTCGCAGGAATTTATTTCAAATCCCGCCTACAATTCATCATTTTTAAACACTATTTAAACTGCATTTTTCAGATAATTTGACACAAAATATAACAAGGCAGCAATTTTCTCTGGACTTTTTGTATGTGAGAATAAAAATATACTCTTCTGAGGAAATCTCAGATATTTCGCATGGAATTCCCGCTATGCCTCATCCTGTTAACTATTCTCGACGCTGGTTTGGTCACACCTAGCGGTCATTTACGGTCTTATCCAAAAGCAGAAATTAATGCGTTTGTTTCTTATGGGGCAGAACTGTCGCAACTGAATCCCGTTTGTAGGGCCAGTCTTCGGAATGTAAGTTTTAAAATCGCCCACTTTTTTAGAAAAATGGTCAACTAGCAATATCTGTTTTTCCGGTTTTTTTGCTGCACATTCCCGAAACCCGAGAAACCGTCACAGCAAGTCATTTAACACAAAAAGGAATCAGAAATGAAATAATGACCCGACCAAAGCTTTGAGATAGTTTTACAAACGCTACTGAATTTCTGGGAGGCACTGATGCCCGGGGCACCGGACAGCGCGAAATGATGGTGCAGACATATCCGAAATAAACAGCTGATTTCGAGGCACCATTTTCAGGGCAGTTTCTTGATCTTTGTATTATGAAAGTACTAACAATTTAATTTAAGGTGCACAGTTTCTTGTCCGCGCACGACACGCTGCATGAGCAGCAACAGTTCTTCTATGCATCGTTTGCGGCTTCCAAAAACGCCAAATTGGTACTGAGTAAGGATCGAAGTCGATGGGTCAGTTTAAAATATCGATAAAAGAGGGCAGAAGCGAGGAAGCGGAAGGAGTTGTCAGTTCCTGCTCGATCGCTTCCTCAATTTTCCCTCAGTTTTCTGTTTTATCAGTGTGAGCAATGACGAGAAGGAAGGGATAAACAATTTTTCCTCATTTTCATCCCCTTGATTTCTCTATATTCCTCAATTTTTTATATCCAGTTTGTGTCAGATTTTTTTTGTCTACTTTATATACTTGCTAACTTCCTGCCTCTAGAACACTTTCAGTACAAATGCTATCGTAACGACTTCTTCGAAGGAAACAAATGAACTGGGAATGAAATAAGACATTCAAAATTGATAAGAAATGAAGAAATGTGAAATTAGAAACAGAAATAGATTCCTGGAAAACCTGAGGGTAACTTGAACAGGGATTTTTTGTTTCGCTCAGTTATAAATCTGATGGCGAACTCATCGCTTCGGAATCAGTTGCTATTACACTTCTCCGGAACATTTAATTGTTTTTTACATGAAGTATCGCGGCCAAAAAGCATACGCATTCCATTAATTTCCCAAAACTGGTACTGCTCCAACTTTTTTCCGCATTCCATTACATAACACATATTTTTTATTCCGAAGAAAACTGAAATAGGCTTCCGGATGTGCTCTCACACAGCACGCTAAAATCATTTCTCTCGACGAAATTTTACAAAAAATCAATTCCCTTCATAATCGATCTCTATGAGAAACGAAAGCTCTCGGAAAGTAATCTGTGTGGTAACAATTGTCAACATCAGCCATCGGCTGACAAGACTGTCAGAAACTGCTCGTATGCGTTTGACTCTCCGACATATGCCAGTGCCAGTTTACTATCAAAATGAATGTACGAATCGTAGAGAGACTGATTGTTAGGTTGCCGGAGCTGACTCTCGATCATCTATACAAAAACGGTGTTGTCTCCCTCTGCGCCGTAGCTGCCAAAATTTTTTTCTCGCAAAAGAAAGGAAGGAAGTCTAGGACAGATCAATTAACCCAGGCTGGAACGCACCGGGCGGGTCTGTGCGACCATGCATTTTTGCACCGGTTTTGAAGCACTCAGGTCATTAACTGCATGAATAGTTATTGCTTTTCACCTACCTTTTGCGGTCACCAGCATAAATTGCCATAAATTTTGCATAAAGTAAACGTGCAATTTCCATTTAACGGTTATTCTTTAAAAGCAACCTAGCTGTTCAGTGAGAAAATTTTCCGCCAAAACTGTCAAGTGTCCGTACGTAAGAACCACGCATACCTCAAGGCTGAATTTGAAATATTTAACTTGTACTTGGACATCCCCAAAATTTTAGCTCTAGCTTTTCTGGTTCCAGAGTTAATAATTATCCCACCAAGACTTTCGTACGCTTTTACGTGAGTACCGCGCACACCTGAGGGCTGAATTTGAAATCTTTAGCTAACACATGCACAAGGGATATCCCTACAAAGTTGCGGCTCCCTACCTTGTCTGGTCTCCGAGATCGCTTTCCCGCTAAAAAACTTGCATATTTTTTTAAAGCGTCCGTATGCGGCATCCATGCATCCACGGAAAATGGTATTAAAGCGGAAAGGTGGCGCATGATATGTGCACGTATTCCCAGAGTTTCATCCTTTTAGCTTTCCTGGTTCTCGAGTTGAAATTGAGTGACATAAAATGCAAACACATAGGCACAGGCACACACACACACACACACACACACATACACAGCCTCTTCCCAATAAGCGTTTTTGCAATTTGCATATATGCAAAAACGCATAAAAAAAGAATGAATTGTCATAAAGACGAGTGAAGTGCCAAAAAATGATCTGAAGATCATAAGTAAAAATTTTTAGCATTATCACTTATTGGAATGCCTTCACGCAGCTGGTGAAACAATTTCGGTTGCATCCGAGTATCCATTGATGTACTGTAACGCCTACAAGGATCTAGAGAGCAATACGTCCGCGCTCGGTATATGCCTTCCAGCAACATGCTCCGACGATAGAACTGCGGTAATTTCAACGTTTGTATATCCCAGCTACAAATCACCAACATGGGAAACCCGCACCAGTAATCCAGGAAATCTTACTATATTATTTTTATATCTGAAAACTCATTGGAAGCCAAATCAGTATCGTAATTTCTCATTAACTCGTACGCAAATTAAATCGATTTTTTTTCCATTTATTTTGGCTCCAAAAGTGTTGCTTACAAGCAAGTTGATGACGAATTTGACTTTCTGGCATGCGTCAGTACCAATTTACCACCGAAACGAATCGTAGAGGGATTAACTGACCGAGTAAAAATAGAAGATGTAGAAAGTGAAACTGTTAGTTGGTTAGCAATTCATAAAAAAGTAAAAAATTCGCCACCGCTTTTTGAAGGGAATAAATTTGCTTATTGTTCTTTGTGACTGCATCTGCAGAATGTCCAAGATCTTTCATAATAAAATAGATAAAATCTTGAGGAATTGCTAATTTAACATAATTTATAGCTAGCCCGTTTCTGGGCACAGTTTACGGGAACCGCAAATGCGACGGTTGCTGAAACAGTGCTGTGCACTCGGTCGAGGCATCTGAAGCAATGGTATCAACGATTTGGCGCACTGTTTGATTTCATAAGCAACAAATTTCTCATGGCAACGGTATTCTGCAGCACCGTGTACCATGCAGTGAGAGGAACAAAAACAAAGTTGGTTGTTTTGACGGTTTTCGCACTTTAATATACCGCATGCACTCGGGAAAGTAAGTTTCTTTTCCGTCCGCCAGGGACAGCCGTACTGTATCCTCGATTTTTTCGGGCCCATGTAAATAAAATACCATGGACACCTTATGCCAATGACAGATGACTTCGTCACACATTGGGGAGCACAGAAAGCTGAAACTGCGGGTTTTTTTCCAAAGTTTCGGAAAACTGCTAGGTTACAAGGACCCAGGAACTTCACGACCCGTGAATTGTTTCAGATCTTTGGCTCTTCAACTATTTTTGGCGTTTTCGATAATTCGAAATTTTCAAACAATAACACGTCCAGCAAAAAAGCACCAGAAACTGATAACATGCATTTTTGGATTGCGCGTCATTGCTACTCTATGGGTGATCGTTGGTCATTCCACCATTTTTCTACAGGTCAATTACAGAAAATACAAAATTTTTTTGGCGTTCTAAAAAAACCCTCCATTTAAATGTTCTATTTAAAGTAAGTAATTTTTGAAGTAAGCAACAATGCAAGCAGTTTTTAATTGCGGTAAACTGTTTGGCTGTAATGAACCTTGGAAGTAGGAGCCACCAACAATCGTGTCAGCGAGTGGCTGCTATTGGCATTTGCTGCCATTCGGAATATTTCTCGGGCGATGCTTCTGTCTTTCAGTTAGAGTGAATGTGAAAGGTTTTTTGTCTAGTTGTCAACTGATCAATAATTAAGCTGATAGTTGATAGGACAGAAGTAATTTTTTAACATACTTTTTCAAAAGTTCCACTTTCTTCTTCAAATCAGAAATTCCAGAAAGGGTACTTCACCTTCTCCAAAATACTACTGCAGAAGAGAATTTTTATGCTACGAATCTTGATGATAGAAAAATTACAGGATTTCTTAGTTAATGTGGACGAATACAGGGATTCACTAAAACGGAACTTTTTTGGTCAGCTAGTGACAAACTGCTTTCTTAGTGTCGAAATGTTCTTCCTTCTCAGCGGTATCCTAACATCATATGGTTGGTTCCGGAGCAGGCAACGAACAGGTTCTTTTTTTTCAAAAAAAAAAAGATTGCTTTGATTAGGCTATTTCGTTCGAATTTTTGATCGGAATCATCAAATTTTTAATTGAGTATTTCTGCTTTTTTTTTCTCACTGATCACTGATCTGAGGAATGGTTTTAGCTGAGCCAGTAACCATACGGCACTGGCTTCAATTTTACTGGCATCGTGTGGTGCGTATTTGGCCAGCTTACGCATATGTGATGTTTGTGGTAGTGTTGCGATACTCGGTGATGCACTATCACCCGGTCTGGCAACTTGATGATCAGGGAGCAAAGTGTGCCAGCAACTGGTGGAAGAACCTGCTTTTCATCAACAGTATCACCGACAACAACTGCATGCCCTGGTCATGGTCCGTTCATTTTTCACTTCTGAACTATAAGAAATTACATCCAGCTACGGTGCATTTTTCAAACCCCCCCAGGCGCACTCTTGTAACTGTGTAATACTCTAGTCACACAAAGTTGCGTTTGAGTAATTCCAATATTTTTATAAAAGTAAATTTTTTTTAAATGCATAAATAAATCACATTGTGGACAATTGGTGGACGTCGCCCATCATCAGTGAGTGGTACTTGCGAGAACGTAAACAAACACTCGGCAGCATCACCTACATCCCAGCAACGTCATTAATTTGGAACACTTACAGCAACAGTTTAGCCGATCTTGGTATAACTGAATTAAAATATATATGCGTTTCTGAAAGAATGACCTGTGAACTTTTTTAGTCGTATGGGCCCACCGTACGTCGTTTGTCAGATCCCGAGATAGGGAGTTGATTCCATACAACTTTACCCCTCGCAAACCTTGAATTTTGCCGCACAGAATTCATAATGTGTTGATGCCAAGTTGCCATCGAAACAAATGTATCACTCAAAAAAGTCATTAATTTGAAATGCCTTAAAATCATCAAAACCGAGTAGCGTGATAGCAAAAGGCCAGCTGTAACTATTAGCTAACAAGGCTGTCGATGGCTTACTCTTTCGAGGACTGCAAACTGATGACGAATTTGTCGGCACTAATTTACTATCAAAAAGTGGAGGCAAGTTGTGGAAATGGTGGTTGTCCCACTAACGGAATCGAACCCTCGAGCTGCCACACATCGACTGTGCCACTTTCCGCTTCGTCATACCCGACGCGGAGCAAAATTGGGAATTTCGAATGCAAAAAACACTTGCAGGTACATTGGGACGGAGTTCATTTTTCATCTCCTGTCACCCGTTTATCTGTTGTCTTTCAATAAATCCTGTGCGCTTGGTATGACGCTATCCATACTAACTATATTTTCTTCCACAATTCTATATGTTATCAAAATGTGTCAGTACAATTTTGCTCCAGCGCAAATGCTATGGGTTATGCCAGAAATTTTCAACCTGGATTTCATGGAGGTAAAATATAATTATTGCATTTAAGTACCGCTCAGTGTTCCGATATTTTTCCAGCAGTGGAGGATTCCACCACGAATTTGCTTTTGCTTACTGGTTTTTGCCAATTTTCGGCCGATGTACCGTATTATGAATGAAGCCCGTTTGCAAAAATATATGAACTGCTAAAAATCGGGAATCTTATTTTCTCTATCAGTGGAACCTCCGAATCGTGATGTATGTATTGGACTGAATGATCCAGTTGATTGTTAATACTAATTAGAAAAGACTGAAAACAGCTAGAAGTTGAAATTTCTGGAAAAAAGTGAAAAATTTTGCTTTTTGCTGGTTTCCTTTCTGACAACAGCAAATAGCAACCACAAGAAGCCTCTTTTTTTTTTTCATATTCCGGATGTATTTTTCAGCAACATCGTGTTCTGTACATAAAACCACAATACCGTATCAGCTCCTATATTATCGGCTTGGCCTTGGGCTATTTCCTGGCAACAATTAACCAAAAGAGCCTATCGCGTAGTGCAATTTTTTGCGGCTGGCTATTATCTGCTCTGCTTGGCTTCTCGAGCTTATTTGGACTTTATCCAGCTTTACAGGTATAAGAATTATGTGCAACCCAGCACTTCTCCTAACCAACATCAAATACCAAGAATACCAAGGCCGCATGGGCTATCAGTGTGGGTATCTTAGTTTTTTGATTTTACTGGAATACTCCTACATGTCAGACGCAGCTATTCCATGCCATTCAGCCCTAAATAACACAGCTTAGTTAATATCTGTCGCCTGTTTAATGCTTTTGAGCCACATGTTCCGGAGCCGTCCAAATGGTGGTTTTCTTTCTCGTTGGTATCACTGACTAATGCGCCTTGTCTACCGGTTGTCAGCAAGGCGAGCAACATACCCCACGCAAGAGATTTTAAATTTTCTCGCATATTCGCAATAATATCCTGCGTCAGGAAAATTTTTTCTCACAAAAAGGCGCAAAAATCAAAACCAAGTCCCAGCAAAATTGAAAAATTGATTTTAAAGTCTAGTCGAAATTCAAAAGCATATTTTCAACTTCATTAAAAATTCAAGTTCAGGAATCATTGGAAACGTATTTTTAGTATGATAAAAAGTAAAGAGACTTATGTTTCACAGGGATGGCACTGGTGGTCGTACCATCTTTGCTACGCAGCTTTACATCGCATTGCATGGGCTATCGCCATTGCTTGGCTTATTTTTGTATGTCACCATGGCCATGCTTACTATTTGAACAAAATCTTGAGTTTTCATCTATTCGTGCCCCTTTCCGCTAGCTGTTATTCGGTAAGTCTCCACATCTTCAAATCGACTGGAAAAATTACGACCGAGATCATTGAAAAAATATGAAAATGTCTCTCTTTGATGTGGATTCGGGCAAGGGACTGTAGGAGGAGATATGGGTTACGTTTGTAAGCCAAAACAATCCCGGAGATGACCGAAAAATATTTTTGATATTTAAAAATATAAGCTTTCTAGCTTCTGTAGTTCTGTGATTGAATTATCGGAACAGAAACATGCATATATTTTCATTTAGAGAAATGCGAAAACGCGTAAAAACACAGGAATCTGAGGACTGAATTTGAAATCTTCAATTTGTAAGTGGACAGAAGACATCTTAAAATTTCAGCTTTCCAGCTTTTCTAGTTCCCGAGTTAGCAATTTTTCCGCCAAAATTTTCACCTATCCACACGTGAGACTTAGATGTGTATGAAAGTTGTGCTATTTTTCCGGGTTTGTACTTTACCGGGGAACCACCGGCAAAATTTCATCTAGCAGCCGAGTTGAAATACTCGGGCAAATACATACATACATACATGCATACATACATACATACATACATACATACATACATACATACATAC